CGAAGTTCAAATTTTAGGCATTGTTTGAATTGTTTGAGAAATAGTTGAAGGTAAAAGATCTTTATGAAACCAAATGGTCGTCGGTTTTACAACCAATAATTTAAATAAAACCATATTAATTTTGTCATTCGTGATTATTTGATTGATATCTTGACTATGATTCTTTCACTTTTAACATTGTCTATTAACACTTTTTAAATCAACACAGCGAGAACAATTTACCTAACCATACTTAGACCTAACTATGTGTAACCCACAATATATAATATTATTTGCGTAAAATGCTCTATAATTATACAGAGCAAAATATATAACCTAACGGTAAAAAATATACAAGTTTGTGAGTTACAGCTCGGGCTGACAGATGATTTCTAAAGAAATCAGTTGAGTCTAACCCGCCCTCAGAAAATAATTACCGAATGTTTGTTAATGCAACTGCAAATTCTACTGTGTATGTATTCTACTGTGTAGTAAAAAAAGGTTCACTTCTTTATTTCCTATACAATTGCCACCAAAATCTAAATAACCCAACGTATCATTGCCTTACCTATAACAAAAATGTTGTATGAAATTATTTAAATTTGAAAAAAATTTGATATGCCCGTGGTATGGTTGTTCCACAGAACGTTGAAGATTTGTTTATTTTTAAAAGTAAATACAATAAATACAATAAGAAATATCGTGACAAGAGAACAAAAACAAAACCCCAAACCTGGGCTACAAATATTGAACAATGAACATGGTACATGAACATAAACTCAGAACGGAAACAAAACCCCAAACCTGGGCTACAAATATTGAACAATAAACATGGTACATGAACATAAACTCAGAACAGAAACAAAAAACACAAGATTTATACACAGGAACATAACCATAGACATGAAAGAAAACATGATAACTAACAAATGGAAACCTGATAATTTATATAGAGAACATGGGACAAGGCAAACTATAAGGGCCACTTGGATATTACAAAAACCCAACGCATACAAAAATAAAGCACCGGAACACACAGGAACCAGGAAGGACAGAAAAAAACTACACACACACACACACACACACACACACACACACACACACACACACACACACACACACATACATTGGGGCGCGGGTGGCTGTGTGGATAGCATGCTGGCCATGTAATCCTGTGGCCTGGGATCGATTCCCGCCGCCGGCGACAAACAATGGGCAGAGTTTCTTTCACCTTGATGCTTCTGTTACCTAGCAGTAAATAGGTACCTGAGAGTTAAACAGCCGTTTCGGGCTGCTTCCCGTGTGTGTGTGTGTGTATGTGTATTCACCTAGTTGTGTTTTGCGGGGGTTGAGCTTTGCTCTTTCGGCCCGCCTCTTAACTGTCAATCAACTGTTTACTAACTACTTTTTTTTCACACCCCACACACACACCCCAGGAAGCAGCCCGTGACAGCTGACTAACTCCCAGGTACCTATTTACTGCTAGGTAACAGGAACATTCATGGTGAAAGAAACTTTGCCAATTTGTTTCTGCCTCGTGCGGGAATCGAACCCGCGACACAGAATTACGACTCCTGCGCGCTATCCACCAGGCTACGAGGCCCCTTGTGTGTGTGTGTGTGTGTGTGTGTGTGTGTGTGTGTGTGTGTGTGTGTGTGTGTGTGAAAAAAATAGTAGTAACAGTTGATTGACAGTTGACAGGCGGGCCGAAAGAGCAGAGCTCAATCCCCGCAAGCACAACTAGGTGAATACAGTTAGGTGAATACACACACACACACACACACACACACACACACACACACACACACACACATACACACACACACATACACACACCTCGTGTGTGTATGGGGCCTCGTAGCCTGGTGGATAGCGTGCAGGACTCGTAATTCTGTGGCGCGGGTTCGATTCCCGCACGAGGCAGAAACAAATGGGCAAAGTTTCTTTCACCCTAAGTGCCCCTGTTACCTAGCAGTAAATAGGTACCTAGGAGTTAGTCAGCTGTCACGGGCTGCTTCCTGGTGTGTGTGTGTGTGTGTGTGGTGGAAAAAAAAAAAAAAAAGGTAGTTAGTAAACAGTTGATTGACAGTTGAGAGGCGGGCTGAAAGAGCAAAGCTCAACCCCCGCAAAAACACAACTAGTAAACACAACTAGTAAACACACACACAGAAGGCAGCGAGTCACTGTGCGGGGTGAGGTGTCAGATTGGCGAGACGTCACCGGTGGGGTCCCGCACGATTCAGTCCTTGGGCCCATATTGTTTCTTATATATGTAAATGATCTTCCAGATGGTATAGAATCATTCCTCTCATTGTTTCCAAATGATGCAAAAATTATGAAGAGGATTAAGACGGAGGAAGACAGTATGAGACTACAAGATGACCTAGACTGACTGCATGAATGGTTCAACAAATGGCTACTAAAGTTCAACCCGAGTAAATGTAAGGTAATGAAACTAGGCAGAGGAAACAGGAGGCCAGACACAGGATACAGAATGGGAGAAGTCCTTCATGAAACGGACAGAGAAAAGGATTTAGGGATTTATCACACCAATCCTGTCTCCTGACGCCTACATCAAAAGAATAACATCTGCGGCGTATGCGAGGCTGACTAACATCAGAACTGCCTTCAGGAACCTGTGTAAGGAATCATTCAGAACCTTGTATACCACATATGTAAGACTGATCCTGCAGTATGCGGCCCCAGCATAAAGCCTGTAACTTGTCAAGCACAAGGCGAAGTTTGAAAAAGTTCAGAGATATGCTACTAGGCTAGTCCCAGAACTAAGAGGCATGAGTTATGAAGAAAGGCTGCGAGAAACGCACCTCACGACACTAGAAGACAGAAGAGTAAGGAGAGACATGATCACTACCTACAAAATTCTCAGAAGAATTGACAGGGTAGATAAAGAGATAAAGATAAACTATTTAACACCGGTAGGACGCGAACAAGGGGACACAGGTGGAAACTGAGTACCCAAATGAACCACAGGGACGTCAGAAATAACTTTTTCAGTGTTAGAGTAGTTAACAGGTGAAATGCATTAGACAGTGATGTGGTGGAGGCTGACTCCATACACAGTTTCATAGGCTCTATCATAGATATGATAGAGCCCAGTAGGCTCAGGAAACTGTACATCAGTTGATTGACAGTTGAAAGGCGGGACCAAAGAGCCAGAGGTCAACCCCCGCAAGCACAATGAGGTAAGAACAATTAGGTGAGTACACACGAAACACAACACTGGTACACGCTGGAGCTGGGTAAGATAAAACATAAACACACTAGTTCACACACAGGAACAAAATGCCGAAATGCACCGGAACTGGGAAACAAACTGCAACCAAACACACACACAGGATTAAACACTGGAACATGCAGGAACTGGGAGGAACACAATCACATAGGCAGGAAGACAACGACTGAACGTGCAGGAACCGGGTAAAAGGAAACCCACCCACACGCACGCACATACAAACACAAACACCGGAACACATAGGAACTGGGAGGAGCAAAACACAACCACACGAAAAATGTGCGCACATGCATGGAGCAGCACAAGAATGCAACACGCATGCAACCTACACCACACACCACCGAGGAGGCCCCCATGAGGGGAGAAGGGGGGGGGGGAAGGAAATCACACGGGAACACCGAAAGGACGTCGCCTCCATCTACACACTCCAGCACCCTCGCCACAGGAGCACCCACCCCGACGTTGGCCCCCAGGAGAAACCCGATGAACCTTCGCAGTAACAACCTCCACAGCACCCGGAGCCACCACAGAAGGATCAGGGCAGGCAGGCCATCCAGCTGAGTAGGAGGAACAGGACCAGTCGCACCAGAGGGGGATATTAAGCGTGGGGCTGGCAGGTAGCACATCCACAGCCCCCAGAATCCCAGGCTCTGCCGCACTGATCTCCAAGGTGGGAAAGTCACTCTGCCGAAAGAGGGACGGACCCCCCCATCTGGTGGCGGGGGTGCCGTAGCACGGCACCCCGCCACCAGATGCCCGGGTGCACCACACGAAAAACAGGTGTGAGGTTGTTCTGCATAGTAGACCCGCATGTTGAATTCGAAGAAGTTGACCTGGGATGGAATGGCATGCATCAGACACGTGGCAAGCATCCGGAATGACAGTTTGTATACCTGCCAACCGTCGGAACACCAATTCGCATACCTGCCAACCGTCCAAACACCAGTTCGCATACCTGCCAACCGTCCAAACACCAGTTCGCATACCTGCCAACCGTCCAAACACCAGTTCGCATACCTGCCAACCGTCCGAACACCAGTTCGCATACCTGCCAACCCTCCAAACACCAGTTCGCATACCTGCCAACCGTCCAAACACCAGTTCGCATACCTGCCAACTGTACTGACACCAGTTCGCATACCTGCCAACTGTCCAGAGCATAGACAAGTCACCCAGTGGGTGAACACAATCCTAAACTTCACGGAGGAGGATCGAAGAACACTCTGAGGAAACTCCAGAGAAACACCCCAAGCACGCTTACGTACACCGGGGGCACACACTGTTCCGGTACCAGAACAGTACCGGCGGTACTAGGTAGCTTTATAGTGCAGCCAACAAAAGCATCCACGAAGCACTGATATGGAGCAGATGAAGTAAACTTGTGCACCACACGCAGGTCCGAGACTTTTTCAAGACCATAGACAGAAGCCAGGTCCACCCTGAAGACGTCCAGAAGGGCCACCTCCATAACTGACCAATCTGCAGCATCTGAAAACTCCAGGCCCGCGGAGTCGACATGCCGAATCGGCGTCACAGACAACGCCATACTGCCAGCAACCCACATGGCCAGCAGGCACACCACACACCACCAGTAGTGAACGACTCACACCAGGCGCTAGGCGAAAACTGAGGAGCGCAGGCGCAGCGACTAAACCCCCCCCCCCTCCCGGTGGGCAAGCAGCGAATCCAGCACGTTGAAGTAGACACCCTTCCCCCCTCCCATTCTCCCGCAGCTTAGGAGAACACAGCATGAAGCTGGCTCACCCAATTACTGCAACTTTAAATAATTTCCAACAGATCCAAGAACCCCAGCCTCTCCTATGCCTAACGATACACAATAATAAAGTGTACATTATCATAAAACAGTCTTTTGCCGTATGTTGAAATTACCAAATGCCGAACGTTGGACGAACATGGTTAAAAGATGATTTGTATGAATCATGTGAGTTTTTCATCCATAAACAGTAAGGGCGGTTACTTTTTTTAATGAACATTTGGCCAATGTTATGAATATGAGTTGTGGCCAGATCTTGTGTGTCGCAACAACAGAATACAGGAAATCACAATTTGTGTGATTATACTAATCATTTTCAGTATTGTAATTATTGCATTTTTTCAATGTATTTCTAATTGTATTTGACAATTATGGATGATGGGACATCTTGTCCCATCACCTGTGTCTTCTTCAGGCTGATTGTCAGGCTGAATGCGGAACAGGCTGCGGCAAAGCGGTTGAGTAGCTGCTGCAGGCCTTCTGCTGTGTGTGTGGTGATTGCTGCGTCGTCGGCGAAGAGGAACTCCCTGAGGATTCGCATCTGTACTTTTGTCTTTGCTCGGAGTCTGGATAGATTACAGAGCTTTCCCTCAGATCTTGTACGGAGATAGATGCCTTCTGTGGTTGTTCCAAAGGCATGCTTGACGACGATCGTGAAGAAGATGCCGAACAGAGTTGGAGCAAGAACACACCCCTGTTTAACACCACTGTTAATGTTGAATGGTTTAGAAGTTGAGCCGTCGTACACGCCAGTGCCCTTCATGTCCTTGTGGAACGATTGTATCATGCTGAGTAGGATGGGTGGACAGCCAATTTTGGCCAAGATCTTGAAGAGTCCGTCCCTACTCACGAGGTCGAAGGCCTTTGTAAGGTCAATGAAGGCAATGTACAAGGCTTTTCTCTGCTCCCTGCACTTTTCTTGAAGCTGTCTCAGGGAGAACACCATGTCAGTGGTCGACCTCTCTGCTCGGAAACCACACTGTGGCTCGGGGTACACATTTTCGGCAAGAATCTGAAGCCTGACCAAAACGACCCTAGTGAAGAGTTTGCCAACGACGCTGAGGAGGGATATGCCGCTATAGTTGTTTACATCGCTTCTGTCACCTTTATTTTTGCAGAGTGATGATGTTTTCATCTCTCATGTCTTGTGACACCGAGCCCTCCCTCCAGCACTGGCATAAAAGTTCATGAAGCTCAGATTTAAGTGTTCCACGAGCGCACTTGAGAACTTCAGGCGGAATCCCGTCGTCTCCTGGGGCCTTCCCTGAGGAAAGTGAATCCACAGCTTTCTCAACTTCTTCCACAGTTGGTTCAAGATCAAGTTCTTCCATGATGGGCAGGCATTCAATTACATCAAAAGCCTCTACGCTGACCAAGTTCTCTCTGGAGTAGAGTTCGGAGTAATGTTCCACCCAGCGATTCATCTGTTGATCACGGTCTTTAATGATCTCTCCAGTGGCTGACTTTAGAGGAGCCGTCCGGTTTTGTGTAGGGCCTGTTGCCTGTTTGATCCCTTCGTACATGCCTCTTATGATGCCGACAGTGGCCACAGTCTTGATGCTGGAACAGAGTCGAATCTAGTAATCGTTAGCACAACGCCTCGCAGTTTGTTGAACTCTACTGCGGGCAGTACGGAAGACCTGTAGGTTCCTTGTTGAGGGCAGGTTCTTGTAGGATGAGAAAGCTCGTCTCTTTTCCTCTACAAGGGGTAACAGTTCCTCTGCACTGGCCTCGAACCAATCTGCTGACTTGTTCTGCCTCTTACCGAAGGTGGACATGGCAGTGTTGAAAATAGTGCCCCTGAGATGTAACCACCTCTCACTTGCGCTATCGCAGGGTGGTACAGGAAGGGCATTTACCAGCGCCGCAGTGAATTCCTCCACCTTGTGAAGGTTACGGGTCTTGTTTACGTTAATGCATGGTCTTCCCTCCTTCTTTGCTCTGTGGATTTTCTGGGGCTGGAACTTTACTTTGCAAACGACGAGAGAGTGGTCGGTGTCGCAATCTGTACTCTGGAAGCTGTGGGTCAGTTTGACATTTCTCAGATTGTTACGCCCTGTAAGCACCAGGTCGAGTTGGTGCAAATGCTTAGACCTGGGATGTCTCCAGGAAACCTTATGCTGGGGCTTGGTGTCGAAGAAGGAATTGGTGATGCAGAGATCATGACGGCAGCAGAACTCCAGGAGGCGCTGCCCATTCTCATTCATCTTCCCAAATCCAAACTGGCCCAGGCAGGAAGGCCAAGACCTGTGATCAGAACAAACTCTTGCATTAAAATCTCCCAGGAGGAAGACTGGCTCATGTTGAAGTATGTCTCTGAGAGCTAGGCCGAGGTCATCATAGAACTTGTCCTTCGCTTCGGTAGAGGAGGTCAGTGTTGGTGCATAGGCATTGATGAGGCTGACCATTCCTACTGCTGTATGAAGCTGAAGCTTGATGATCCTTGCAGACCCCTCCATAGGCGGTACTATGGACCCTAACAACCTGTTCCTGATGGCAAAGCCAACGCCATGCTTCTTTACTTAACCTCTTCTGGTGGTTTGCCCTGCCAGAAGAAGGTTAAGTCCATCTCCTATATGCTGCCGGTTGCGATCAGATGTGTCTCCTGCAGGGCGACTATGTCCATCTGGAGCCTGCGCAGTTCATTGTTGATCACAGCTGTCTTGCGAGCGTCGTTCACTTCCAGTAGATCTTCCGAGAGACCCGGTGTCATGGTCCTTACATTCCATGTGCCCAGTTTGAGAGCTGGGTGGCTCTGTGTTTGTTTTCTTTTGCCTGGTGCATGGGTTGACGATCCGCTTATTGGATTGTGGCCTAAGCCCCACGCACCCAGTGGAGCAGGCGGACCATGGCGGGACAGCACCTTATTGGCTGGGGGCTGCCCAGCTTGAGGCGGGCGGCAGCTGTCCTATGAAATCTATATATATGATTTCTCCCACCGACGGAAGCAACCCCTGGCGCCTTACTCTACGCCAATTGAGTGGTTGGCTTATCACCGGTAACTGTCACTTCCTGTGTTGAGCCATCGCCAAGGCGATGCTGGAGTGTCCTCTCCAGGGCACAGGCCTGGGCAGTAATTATGGAAGATCAGGTGTTGCCCATGCAGCAGATCCACCCTCTCCACGCCACCGATGTGATCCAAGGGAAGGGCAGGCGCCGATACGCTTGGCACCAGTGTCGTCGCAGGAGTTGCCAGAATGTAGCTGTAAACAGCTGCAAACTGCCTTAGGGACTCCGACTCCGGATTTTTCCTCAGGGTTGACTCCCGAAGTCTTTCCCATGAGTGGGTTTAGCCACAAGACAGCAGAGGTTTGAATTCGGGGTTTTCCTTTCCCTAGATGAGCTGCCTTTCCAGGCTAACGAGTCCCATCTGCCCAAAGCAACTGGTTTTAAGGCGCCAGGGGTTGCTTCCATCAGCACCCCGCCACCAGATGCCCGGGTGCACCACACGGAAAACAGGTGTGAGGTTGTTCTGCATAGTAGACCCGCATGTTGAATTCGAAGAAGTTGACCTGGGATGGAATGGCATGCATCTGACACATGGCAAGCATGGCGTTTCCTTTCACCTGCCTTCGCCCCTTCTCCTGTTGGTAGCAGCAGTTCTGCCAGGCCTAGAGGCTAAGCCACACGTGCAGGCCAGGAGCTGGACTTGGTTGTCAGAGGCTATTTGAGACGCACGCCATCAGGGGCACTTTACAGGCTGTGGGATCTTATCTCTACAACCCTTCCCCCCCGGCTATAACAACCCTTGGAACCTCGAAACTCTAGAACTCCAAAAAGGCTCCAAACGTAATGTACAGTATACTGAGTAATGAAAACAAACTTATATATAGAAGCTAAACATACCAACATACTGTTGCCAAAATCTACAAAGCAAATTACCTATCAATATGTATAAAAGAATATGTCTGTCTGACCGAGAGTGGAGGACAGATGCTTGGGATCAGTCTCACCCAGCTTTGTAGTGTGAAGCAGTGTCACAAAAGTGACATAGAGGTGCCACAAACCAGGCGTGTACGACCCCAGTGCCATACATTACGAAATATCGGGAATTTTATGAAGGATGTATTAAAATCGGGGGTGGTATTTTCCGTACAGTATTGGTTCTTACTCCCAGCATTTTCCCGTGCCGCATGTTATGGTTGAGTCGAAATTGATGATTGTGAAATTGATGATTGTACAATCAGTAATGTACTTTACAATACTGAGTGTCAGTATTACACTTCAGAGGGAGAGAGAGATCACAATACTGAGTGTCAGTATTACAACTGAGAGAGAGAGAGAGAGAGAGAAAGAGAGAGACAGAGAGAGAGTGAGAGAGAGAGAGGGAGAGAGAGGGAGAGAGAGAGAGAGAGAGAGAGAGAGAGAGAGAGAGAGAGAGAGAGAGAGAGAGAGAGAGAGAGAGAGAGAGAGAGAGAGAGAGAGCAAGAGAGAGAGAGAGAGAGAGAGAGGGAGAGAGGGGGAAAGAGAGAAAAAGGGGGGAGAGAGATAGGAAGAGAGATAAAGGCAGACGACGAGACTAATGAGAGGGAAAGAAAGTTTGAAGGTATAGGACAGGAAGAGGAGAGTGGAACAGAGGTGAGAGGGACGGGAAACTGGGATAGAGGGGTGGAAGAAAAGAGAGAGTGTGGAAGGAGAGATGGAAGATAGACTCGGGCAAAGCCGGTTACCCAATCCACTTAATGTATATATTCATTGCAAGGGAACTTACCCCTCTTACTACGACGCCAACCATGCCCGTCCAGGAGCCATCATCCTGCTTCACCCCCCACGTTCCGTCGGGAGAGTTCACATAGGTATATCTGTGGAGGGGGGAGGGAGAGAGAGACACACACACACACACACACACACACACACTCATAATCATAATCCATGGATTACAATGGAGGACAATCATAATCCATGGATTACTTGAAGCCAGGGCACCATCGAGGCAGGAAAGGATGGAGATTGAGGATTGGAACTACAGGGGATCTTGAGAGACATGAGAGCCCAGATGGCAGGGAATGAGGTGCAAGTCCACCGACGCATTGGACCATACAACTGTAAC